ACCAGGGCTGGTGCCGGCCCACCAGCCTCCATGCCCTGCCCGCCCACCCTGGCCTCTCCCCCAGCTCCAAGCTGGGGCCCTCGCTTCCTTCGCGCTCCCGCCAGCATGTGGTCTACTGGGTCCCCCCAGTCTTGGGGCTGCACTCCCCTCCCGTGGGTTTGGTGATGACTGGTCCGCCGCACCCCCTGCAGGTGCTCAGGTATTTGCTGAGTGGGCGAGCTCCTTCTGACCTAAGAGTCTGGTGCTGAGCACGTGCGGGCAGTGCCACCTGTGCTCCTGCCTGGCACACTTGACGCTGAGACAAAGCCATCAAGGCAGAAGGTTCTGGGCGCCCACAGATGAGGTATCAGCCAATCGGGGCCAGTGGTGTTTCACCAACCAGCACCGCCTCCCCTGCCTCCCACTGACCGGTGTCCCTGGACTTCCTGACTTTAGGTGTTTGTCTGCGGTTTGGGACACAGCAGACTGGAGAGCCCACAAGCTAACTCGGGGCCTAGGATAATTCTAAAGGCCCAGTCAGTCTGGGGTCTCACGTGACTGACAGGAACCAGTCCTTTGGGAAGTAAAGGGTTTCCGAAAGCCCAGCTTTACCCGATAAACCACGGCTCGGACTTCCTTCCACGGGGATGGGGAGGCGACTGCGGACCCCGCAGTGCAGTGCTGTCTTGCCACCCCAGGAACGCCACCTTGACAACGGGACCTCCCGAGGCAGAGGGTGACACCTGCGTCCCCCGGATCACTCCCAGGCTTCCCCCCGCCCACCCCACCTGCCTCTCATCTCCGCTTACAGGAGGTATCAAAGGTGGCGGACAAAGAGCGAGGTGAATTCCACGCTTGGGATGCCAAGCCCGAGAGGAACAGCCAACCCCGACCCAGCCCGTGACCCTGTGCGGTCAGCCCCAGGGACAGGGTGTCCGCGGGGCTCATGCTCGTGCCGTCCCGAAGTGCCAAGGGGATCCCATGGGGGCCCCTCCCCGCAGCACACGCTCGACACCAGGCCTGGGATGTGTCTTTATTAAAGATGCAAGCAAGCACAGAAGTCTCATGTCCATACAGCACTGAAATAGAAAAATAGAAAAGAAACTTCACAGACAGCAGCCTCCCTCACGGATGCGCAGAAAAGGGGCCGCCGAGCCCACGCGCACCGCCACGCGCCACCTGCCGGTCCCAGCCGCTCGCCTTCACAGTAAAACACACCTTTCAGGGACGCAACACAGGACAGCGCCTCCAGCAGCGGCCCTGCCACCCCTCAGGGCACTTCCCAGCCACAGGCCACCCAGCCCCTCCGCTCCTCCAGCCAGAGGTGGGCCAGGTGATGGGGAGAGACGGGAGGAACGGGGACACAGACTCCACCTCTCTTCCCCCAGGGACACGGAGGTGCCGGGACAGGGACAGGGTGAGAACGGGGCGCTAGCCCTGCCACGTGGCACCCCAGGGCTGAGCGCCTCCGGGGGCGGAACCACCTGAAGGCTCAGGACCGGGAGCCCCAGGAACTCACTGCTGAGCACCTGCTCCCCAGCAGAGGCCTCTACTTCAGGAACAAGAGAAAGATGGTGACGAGGACTCGGATCCCAGTGTCTCCGGGTGGACGGTCCCATCGCTGGCCTGGGGCCAGCTTCCCCCCAGTGTCCCGCTGGCTCCGCCCAGCGAGTCTCTGGCCGAGGGGCATCCCTCTGAGAACGCCCGGTGGGCAGTTCCTGCCTCATTTCCAGGTGACAGAGAACTGCGCGCCATTGGGACAGTTTCCCTCGGAGCCCGCCTCATCGAGCCCTCGCCTTCCTCCCAGACCAGGTGAGAATGGCTGCCTCACAGGAGAAAACTACAAAAATAAACTGCAACCTGAGATCTGTCTACCGTCGGTGTGGCTCACCCCCGCGTGCCCTCGGGAGTGAACTTTGGTTTGGTGTGTACTGACACGTGTTCAGGTCTCCATGGGAAGCTCTATAATGTCTGGCTGCGTATGTTACAGGCTCTGTGTTTACGGTGCCACCGCTGGAACAGCACGGCGACCCTGACAATGTTTGTATTAGACACAGACAGACTTCAGATCCGAAGGCGGGACAGCTGCTCCGGGCGGCAGGCCCCTCCCACCTCCTGCGCGCCCCCCTCCCCGCGTGGCCACACCGCGGCCGGGGCTTGTCCAGCAAGTAGCGAATGCGTGTACGGGACCGTAGCTAGTGGCGTCTGGGGACCGTGAGCATGCAGGGCTGTTGCCGGGGCTGCGCTTATAAATAAAAGTCAAACGTGAGGTCGCACTTCCCCATCTTCTGCTTGTACACCAGGTCGAACTTCTCGTTCATGGACACGGTGAAGATGTCCTTCCACAGCCCCACGCGCCCTGGAAGCAAACGAGAGAGCGTGCTGCACGTGTGCGCGTCAGGCAGCTACCCGAGCGCAGGAAGCCTGCACCCTCGGACCTGGCCTGGGGGCCAGGCAGGCCCTCTGAACCGGACAGGCTGGACCCCGAGTCTGACATCCTGGGGTCCTTTCCCGCGGGGTGGCCCAGTGCCACGAGTGCACGGAGCTGAGGCTGTAGGCTGCCCCGGCCACTGCAGGGGAGTGGATAGGACCCCGCACCCAGGCTCTGTGCGAGTTTCAGCACAGGGAGTGTGGCCAGGTCTGTGGACCGTGGGGAAGTGGGGTTTCCGGATGTCCCCACTCATGGCTCAACAGCCCAACGGGCCCCTGCTTCTGCGGATGGCGAGAAGGGAACACCATCCAAAGGCAGACCCTTGAGGCGAGCAGGCGGCCTCCAGGTCAAGGAAGGAGATTTTGAGAAGCCTGCGCGCGCAGCCTGGGAGGAAGGGCAGTCACGGTGCCCACCAGCTCTCCTGCCTGGATGCAGAGCGTGTGCGGCAGCCAGACTCCCGACTCCACACCAAGCGAGTCAGGGCGACACCTGGCTGCCGGGGCTGCAGCGCAGCAGGCAGTCAAAAACTGTGACCATGGCCACCAGGCAGGAGCACGGAGCCCCAGACTGATGAGCAGGCTTGGGAGACAGAGCCCCAAAAAACTCAAACTGCAGCTGTAGCCAGTTTGGCTCAGTGGATAGAGCGTCGGCCTGCGGACTGAAAGGTCCCAGGTTCGATTCCAGTCAAGGGCATGCATGTGTCTTGGTTGTGGGCACATCCCCAGTGGGAGGTGTGCAGGTGGCAGCTGATCAATGTTTCTCTCTCATCGATGTTTCTGACTATCTCTCTCCCTTCCTCTCTGTAAAAAATCAATAAAATATATTAAAAAAAAAAAACCTCAAACTGCAGAACCCACCCACTTTCCCGTTAACTACAACAGCTGCAGTTGGTTGGACAAATATTGACCCCTAGAGTGCCGGGGAGCGCTCCTCCTGTCTTTCGCCAAAAGTGCCGGGAGCGCTATCAAAGCTTCGAAATGGCGTCCAGTTCTAAGTCTGCTTTTATTAGTGATGATGATATTGCTAAATATGTCAATGTAGTAAAGGTTTCCTTAAGTTTTTGAATATGTAACTTCATTTACTTGCGATTCATAGTTTTTTCCCAAAACTGCTGTAAAATCAGCAAAAATGCCTTGGCAATTTTAGCATAGTTCCTAGGATATTGGTTGGCACTCAAGGGGTTAATGATGCCCTGGCTGGTGTAGGTAAATGGTTAGTGTTGACACAGGCACTGAAGGGTCTCGGTTGGATTCCTGATCAAGGGCACATATCTGGGTTGTAGGTTCGACACCCAGCCTCAGTCTGGGCGCCAGCCAGCGGGAGGCAACCAGTTGATCTTTCTCTCTCTAGCTCTTCCCGTCCCTCCCTCCCTTCCACTCTTCCTAAAAAAATCAATGGAAAAAATGTCCTTGGGTGAGGATTAACAAATAAAAATAAAACGTTAACGGTGATTGTGAAGATGCCAGGAGTGGGGTGCAGACCTCCCAGCTGGGGAGCTGTGACCCGCCAACTGTTGCCGTGCTTTTCGGGAACGGCGTCGGGGACTAAGATGTTTGCTCAGAACCCTCTCAGCATCTCCGAGATCAGAGCTCGAGGTCGGAGCAAACACCCCTCCTTCGCCCCCGGCAGGACCTCGGACCAACCCACCCCTGCAAATGCGGAGCTCACACCCCAACAGGACAGGGTTCCTCTTTGGCCATGAAGATTACGTCAGTGTGGGGAGAAGAAAAACAAGAGGAACTGTTCTGCTCCCCGTTAATGGTACCCAAGGGAGGAAATCGGGAGCCTGTAGACCGAGCCGCTATAAATAACTTTTCCATGATTGTTTTTCTCAGCTGAGGCAGCTGAGCGCGCATCAGAGGAGTCACCCACCTGGTTTAGGATTTGCAATCAAGACAGTGAATTTACGCTGGGACATGAATCAAATCTAAGCAATGCAGCTGGCTACTCAAGGCCCTGCATTCTCACCAGCGCAAGGAGGTCTTCCGAGCACAGAGGCAATGTGCTAAAAGAAAACAAAATCAAAGAACTGAAATAAAGCAAAACCAAGGCGACAACACAAAGCAAATCCATGGAAGGAGCCCTGGGACACACACACGCGAACCAAGGGGGGACGCAGGGACGGTCACACCCACAGGCAACAGAGCAAATGCAAAACTAAAAAGGAGCAAAAAAAATGTAAACCATAAACACGGTGAGGATGCAGCCAGGAAACAAACGCGAGGCGCTGTGGTTTGTTCATCCTGGAAAGGCAGGCCGCTCTGCCTCACAGGAAGGCCCTGTGCCCCTGACCTTCAGAGCAGCCCGGCAGCCCCGGCGGCCACGGCCAGCCCTCTGCATCTGCAGAGAGAGGACAAGGCTGTCTAAGCTCAGAGCCTGACCCGAGGCCCCTCCCCCGGGCGTGGCGGCTGTGATGGAGCCCACCCTTCCGCCACCACCCAGGGTCTCCCGTGGATCTGATGGCACCTCTTCCCCTTCCCTCAAGCACTGTCGTCTCCTGAGAAAGCTCCAGACTCACAACCCAGGAACCAGCGTCAGGTCACCACCACCAGGCTGCGCCCCGTTCCCTGCTCTCCCACGGCCACAGCAACCCCTTGGGAACCACGGGGCTCTCCTGCCCCAGCACCCCAGTCAAACTGCCTCTGAGGACACGGAGGGCCGCGGGGCCTGGAGAGGACTCCTGCCTGGAGCATCTCCATCTCAAACTGCTGCCTGCCCCACAGCAGCTCCCGGAGCAGCCAGCCCAGGGCCTGGCTTTCTGCCCTCACCCTCTGCCCGACCGGGCTTGCCTGACTGCCCTGGCACTCATGGTGCGTGCAGGAACCGGCACCTCCTCACATGGGAACTCACGCCCTCCCCGGCCCATGGGTTGGGGAATCCATCTGCACACGTGGACTCTGCGATTTCACCGCCCGGACCATCCAGGCTCTGCTCTGTGGGGCCATCTGGGGAGACACCTGCTTGAGGACATCGTGCCCACAGCGCCTGGCACTGCCCGGGGGCCCTCCTGGGAACCCAGACACCGTTTGTTCCGTCACAACACAAACAGCTGCACGGCCCGGCTTCCAGGCGGCTTCACCCCACACACAGCAGAGGGCTCTGGAGAAGCAAGACACGGGCAGCAGGACGCTGAAGTGGGGCGGGGGCAGGGGTGGGGGGCCACGGGCCCTGGGCAGAGGCAGGGGCGGCAGGGGTGCGGGCCCCGGCCCACTGGCAGGGCCTCGGCGTTGCAGCACTGGTCCACCAGCTGGTGGCAGTGCTCGATCAGCGACTCCAGCTGGGCCTTGTCACAGGACACCCCCAGGAACCTGGCCAGCTGCTCCACCATCGTCACCAGGTCCTGGAAGGTAAGAGCAGAGGTGGTGCCGTGACTGACCGCTGGCTGGACCCCTCGAGGGGCGGTACTTGGTCCTGAGCCCCGTCTGAGATGGGCCTCAAGTGGAAATAAAACCCTGGGTTGGGAAGTGGCCCAAGGGCCACTCTCAAGTGGCAGCTCCAGGTCCTCGGGACAGGAGCGTGAGGTCGCTGTGGCCACTGTAAAACAGCAGCAAGAAGTAACAGCCCACCGGCTCTCTCTCTCCTTCCCCATCCTCCCCGCAGGCCCAGGCTGCCTGCCCTCAGCAGTGAGGAGCTGGCTGGGTCTGAGGCCGGATCCACTCACAGCTGGCCCAGCGCTCTGCTCCTGACTGCAGCGGACTGACCCATCGATGGGTCCCGGAGCTGCGTGCACACCTGCTCCCCACGCAGCCCTCCCGCAGCTCCCCACGGCCGCCACTCACTCCCAGGGGTACAACCGGTCCTTGCATAACAACACCCCTGTGTTCGGTTTTGTTCCACGGTCACACCGATGAGACGTAGGAACTTAACTCTCACTAATATCCATCAGCCTCCGGTAGTGACAATGGGCGTCATCACAAGTCGTTTCACTTGGCCACAGAGCCCATCCACACTGTTCAGGGAGGACTTCTTGTAAATGGGGCTTCCAGTGGGCAAAGGGGGGCGAGTCTGGGCACACCTGAGGCCGGGGGGCTCTCGGACACTCCAGTCAGCCCCACCACGGCGGGCAGAGCCCCCACCACCCAGGCTCTCCCGCTGGCCCCCGGCGCCGCACTCACCCGGTGCATGTCTTCATACTTGAGGAAGAGCACGTTGGAGTCCGTGCGGTGCTCCCAGAACTCCTGCACGTGCTCGAACCAGGAGCCGTAGCCCACTGCGGAGAAAGGACAGGGGGTCACTCCGCACCGGGGGGCGTGCCCACGGGTGGCTGTGATTCCGGATGGAAAAGCAAGCTCTTGGCTGGAGGGAGAGAGTCCCAGGGATTTGGGGGGGGGGGGGGAGAGGGGCCACAGACAAGGTCTTCTGAAGTCCGTCACCTGCTCTCTGCACAAGTCTCTCCAGGAAACAGCCCTCCCCCGCCCCCCATGCCCTGAAGACCCGACATGGGGGTGAAGGCCTCTGTTCGCCTGGCATGGACGGTCCCTAGCACATGGGTTTGTGTTTAGCAATGGCCACCGGGAAGAAACGATACCAGGAAAAGGGACACGGCCAGCGGTTTGCTGGTGGGTGACGGGTGCAGAAGACAGATCCTAGCACAGGGCTGACGGGAGTGACCACTGCCGCCCCTCGGGCTGCCCGCGCCGTCTGCCATCTCGCCAGCAGGTGGCAGCACAGCAGCGGGACCGGGTGTCCATCAGGTCGGGGTCACTGCCCCCAGGGGTGGGCCTTAAGGAGCAGGTCACAGCACAAAGGCCCTCCCCAGCCCTCGGGGCCTGAGGGACAGGAAGGGGCTCCACAAGGGAGGGCAGAGGGAATGGAAGGAAAAGAACAGATTCGGCCAAAGGTCTTGTTTGAGGGTAAATGCCGGCCCCACTGCTGGTCCCCTCACCGCAGGGGTTCTAGCTGCTGTCCCCGCACCCTCACACCAGGAGGAAACACAGGACAGGCCTCAGACACAGACACGCCCAAACCTGCTGCTTGGGGACGAGGGAGAGGCTGGGGAGCAGCCACCTCACCGCAGGCCAACAGCCGCCGCCCAACAAGAGCCCGAGGCTGGGCCCTGGGTGAACAGGGCCTGAGCACATCCCTCTGGCCCAGGAGGAAACTCCCAACAGGGGTGGGGGGTGCAGAGGGGCGTGCGCCTCACGGGGGGCCCTCCTGGGAAGGGGCTCCGCGGCAGCTCCCACTTCTCTCCAGGTCCCTCTGCCCTGAGAGGTCACGTGCTTATCCCGATGAATTACTGGGATTAACACCTCACCGGCCAATCCCCCTCCAACATGGGGCCTGCCCTCAGAGCGGCTCCATACAGGCTCCGGTCGCCTGGGCACGCCCCCAGAGTGCATGGGTACACCCTGTGCTGTCAGCAGGTCCTCTGGCCTGGCTCTCCTTATTTCTTATTCAAATTTTCAGGACCTTGGACAGAGAAGAGCCAGGCAGGGGCCCTGATGCCTGCACTGTCTGGGAAGAGGGAGTAAAGGGGAGACCTGCGGGGCCACCACGAGTGCCCATGGCCTTGGACGTCAGTGCCCGACGGTGCGGTGACCTTCAGACGCGGGCGGGCCTGCCTTGGAATCGCTTCAAATGCTCTGCCCTACCCCACTGGCGACCGGAACTTGCTGAGTAGCCACAACCCACTGGGCCCTAATCTCAGCACTGCTCCCCCTGCAGCAGCCCGGCTGGCACTGCTGGAGCTGGGGAATCCACAGGAAGTGGACAACAGCCGGTGCCACCGCGGTGAGGGGCAGAACTGCGTGAGGACCTGCTGCCCCGCTGCCCAGGGCGGCTCCCCCACTCCCGCCCCTCCCTGGTCACACTGGCCGGGGCGGGGCTGCCTGCCTGGTCTTCATCCCGCTGGGGCCTGCACTGGGCCTCCCTCACCAGTAACGGAGACGTCTGGGCCTCCGTGTTCACTTCCGAATCCAGGCCGGCAGGGAGACGCTTTGAACTGGGGAGTCTCTCAGAACCCACCACCGAGGCAAGAGGGGCTTCTGAGGGGGACGCCCGCTCTGCTGCGCATGAGCCATGGAGCCCGGCTTGCTCGCCCATCCGCGGGAAAGCAGACCCGACGGGCACAGCGATGGCCAGACCGGGGGGCTGCGGGCAGAGCACCGCACATGCTGGTGTTGCGTGGACAGCGAGCGCCCTGCGGTGATGGCCCGGGGCCGACGCACTTACGCTTGTCGTTCATGAACCGCCGGCAGAACTCCTGGAAGGTGCCGCGGTAGCTCATGGTGCGCAGGGAGCGGTGGAACTGGTAGTAGGACACCCACCCTCCCCCCGCCAGCAGGTCCACGGGCCCCACCCGCTCCTGCACCCCGACCCCTCCAGCATCGAGGCCGCCCCACCCGCTGCCCCACGGCCGAACGCTTCCCGCTGCGTTTGAGCAGGGGTGCGACCTCGCCCACACAGGGCACCCTGCTGGGGCAGGTCCGCAGCGGAGCCATTTGTCGTATCTCTGTCTCCAGCTCTACTTCAGAGTCAGCGGGAGGAGACAGGGGAACGGCGGTCCTGACACCGGTGGTGAGAACTGTGGGCTGAAACGTCACCAGTGGAGAAACGAGAAAAATCAGCCTGAAACGCTCGCTCGGCCTTCCACAGGCAGAGGCTGGACTGGCTGGTCCAGCCCCAGTTCAACGGTGAGGGAAAACCCAGGTTAGAATGTGAATGGAACGCTAGAGACACTGGCTCTGCCAGGGTGGACGCTGGCACCAGGGTCTCACTTCCCGGGGCCTCGGGGGCCGTGAGGGCACAGGCCAGCGGGAAGGGCAGGGCATTACCTTGGAGTCGCCGTTGTGGAGGTCGGAGGGCAGGAAGCGGTAGGGGAGGTGGCTTTTGATGAGGCGGGGTGACGTCAGTTCCTGCGGGGGGTCGGGGAGAGGCGGTCAGTCCCGCGGGCCTCAGGGCCTTTCCCATGGGGGCGGGCAGCGAGGGTCTCGGACGGTCGGGACCAGCGCTCCCAGCGCTCCGCCTGACAAACTTCCCGCCTGAGGCAGGACCACCCTCCGGGCTGAACCTCGGGCCAGATGTGAGCAAGATGCGGCCCGTCCTCGGGCACCCACAGCCTGAGTCGGCCTGTCCATCACCAGGGTCTGCCCGGAGGACCAGGGCGGGCCTTGAAGGGCAGCAGAGGAGGCACGAGGCAGACGGGCGGCTGGGCCCTCAACCATCTCAGCAACATGCCTTCCTGCGGCTCCGGGAGCATGCCAGGCCCTCTGCCCCGACTCGGCCATCCAGTGCCGCTGGCTCCCCATTGGGTACACTGGTCACCCCTTAACCGCCACTCCTTGTTGTCTCCCGGTCCGTCTCCCTCACTGCATGTCAGCTCTGAGCGCTGTACCCCGATGCCAAGGGCAGTGCCGGCCACGGGTGCCCAGCGCAGCTCTACACACGGGCTCAGCAGACGAGTCAACACAGAATACTCAACTAGTGGGACAAGGGACAGGCGGTCCACACTGGAAATGCCACCTGAACTAAGGTGGCAGAGGGGAGGGTGGAGAGAACATTCCAGATGCATCAGAGGGATGGAATGGACAGGAAATTGGGGTGTTTATTTCATTCCTGACACCAAAAATTTGATGCAAATGCATCCTACCCAGCTCCCGAACAGACGGGGTAAACCACAGGGCAGGGGAGATGACGCAAGCCCCCCACCCCCACTGCCTCCTGCCCCCACTCCCGGGACCTGTCTCCTTTCTACCTTGAAGTGACCCACGTGATCCACCCATCGATTCCAGGTCACCGTCACGGGTTCAGGCCTGTCTCCTGGCTACCTGGGGTGCGGGCAGCTCTCTGCTCTTTCCCCGCCCACAGGGCCCCGCCCCCCACCCCTCGGGAGGAGCTGTCACCTTGATGATGTCCAGGCCGGGCTGCGGGTACTCCAGGACCGGGAGCTGCTCGTCGATGTTCATCAGGCCGATCTCGTCAGGGTCCGCGCCCTGGCTCACCAGGTAGACCACCTCCTGCAGCAAGCTTGTGCCTGAGGGAGGCCGGGGAGGCGCTCAGAGGCCAGGGCAGGGCCCTCTCAGCTAGCACCTCGCCCCAGGAGGGGCTGAAGGGAGGGGGAGCGGGAGCGGGGTAGGGGGGGGACGGCGCCCAGGAACGCCTGAGTCTAGCGGAGAACACTGGCCTGGGCCAGCACCTCGCCCGAGTCCCACCCTGCGGGGGCTGGGGAGCGCCTCTGAGGTTGTCGGAGGGATGAACAGGACGCACAGCGCCTGCCGCCCGGGCCCAAGGGCTGTAACCATGGATGGTGCTCAGTCCCGAGGCTTCCAGCTCAACTTGCCACTCACACAGCAGCCACGAGGCTCCAGCGGGAGGGCTCGCCAGCCAGCGTCTGACACTGCGGCACTGTGTGCCCAGCACCCACAGCCACACAGGCGCGCCCTGTAATCCCAGAGTCTCCCAGGTTACACGGAGACGCGCACCAGGGCGATCCTGGCCACGCCGCCCAGAACAGCGGGCCTGGGAAACCACGGTGCCGTGGGCAACCCCGGAAGGAGAGGAGGTGTGACTGATCCTTCTCACCTGCAACCAGAGCCGCGCCCTGAACTGCCGCTGCGCTCAGCGAGGCTGCGAGGCTGCGCCACACACAGCGCTGGGCCAGGAGAGACGACCCTCAGGCCACCTCGTGCCTGGTTCTTGGTGACTCCACCCACGTCAGGCTCCGCAATGGGTGAGACAGCTACGGTGCTGACACGGACCCAGACGGCATTCCACCCACTGCAGGCCCTCCCAGGACGGGCTTCTCCGGAGTAAAGCGAGGCCTCCCCCGGCCCCCGCGCATCATCCACTGAGCTCCTACGGCCTCCCTGCTGATCAGAAGCATGCTGTTTGCACGAGCTGGTCCCCTGCCTGAAGCCCTTTCCTCCTCCCTTCAAGTCCTTCAGAGATGAGGGCTCCCTGACCAGCCACATAACTGACACTCTCACCCTTGTCCCCTGTCCCTGCTGCGCCAATGGCCCAGGCATTACTTGCACATCCTTTATTCTGAATGCACAAGCAAACCCTGGGTGCTGAGCAATCAGAAAGAGGTGTGTTGATCAAGGAAGACTTCCTGGAGGAGGCAGCTTCGGAGCAAAGGCCCTAAGGGAAAAAGTGGTGCAGCAGCTCATCAATTCAAACGGAAAAGCTACTAACCCTGGGAGCTTCCCACCAACCTGAGAGGCGGGGCCATCACTCCCTCACAGACGAGGCTCCTGAGGCCTAAGTGGGCCCAAGGTCACAGAGACAGCCCACCCTTCTCCTCCCGAGGCCCACCCATCGGCAGCTCAGGGCAGCTGCACTGGGCGTCTGTGCCCGCAGGAACGACTGTGGGCAGAGTTCCCAAAATGGCTCTCCCGGGCCGTCCTCAGGGCCTATTTTTAGTGCTCCCCCCCCCCTCCCCCACTCCTGCAGCCCCCACAGGCAGGGACCCAAACCGATGTTCTCTGCACATTAACATCGATTTCCGTCAATATCGACTCGTCAGCTCCAAAGCCCCATTAGCTCTCTGTGCCGGAAGGCCAGCCTCGCGAGAGCCAGAGGGCGGCCTGTCCCCAGTGGCCCCTCCGGGTCCCCTTCCTGGCTGAGCAATGCGCGCTCCCCTCCTCCAGCCTCCAGGGCCTCAACAGGGGGGCACTGCCCGGTGCCCTGCACCGAGGGCAGGGAAGGGGCACACGGGACAAGTGCAGGGAGCAGCCCCAAGCCTCGACGGGCAAGATGTGACGAAACGATCGCAGAAAAAGCTCAACCAGAGCTGATGAGGACAAGGGCACTGACGGGCACTGCAGGGCTCCTGCCACTCCGCTCAGCACATCACGGACGGCACCGCCCGGCCCTGCAGGCTCTCGGCCAGGCCCCAGGGCGCGGTCCTCCGGGCTCGCCGCTCCTCTCCATGCCACTGCCCGCCCCCCCAGGTCCCAGCACCAGGCACCCCTGGGGGTTACCTGGAGCCCACTCAGCCCCCATCCACTCTCCTGGCTGCCAGGCCCCAGTGGCTCTCGCGTCCTGCTCGGCCTCGTCCCCCCTCCCCACGCGCTCCCACGTTCGATGCTGGGGCTGGGGCTGCTATGCCGAAGCAGTCCACAGGCTGCCACTCACCGGGTCCATTTGGCCCTGACCTTTGGGCCATCGGGTGCCTGTCCTGGCCACGCAGGACCAGAACTTCTGTTCCAGCCCCCAGCGCACCGGCCTCAAGGGCAGCTCGTGAGGGCAGGGAGCGCGTCTTAGCAGAGCCCAGCCCCCGACTTCCCGTGTCTCCTGCGAGGCAGGGCTACCACCCCCGACCCACAGGCGCGGGGAGGGAAGGCGGGACCCGAACACGCCCGAGTCACGGCTGGGTTCCTTCACTGAGCCTTGCCCTCCTGCCTGAGGGCCTCTCAGGATCTGGTGTCTGGCCACCTCCCACCCTCTGCTCACTGGACAGGGGCTGGCCCTGGAGCCCTGCCTCCCTCCTGGACCACGGAGCTACAGACACATGAGCACCGCTGACGGAACCACACCCGCAAGGACACACCACAGCCTCCAGCCAACCAGGCAGCCTCCTCCCCACACGGGACACGTGATAACAGGTGACACCTGGGGCCACCCGCACGGCCGGGTGCAGGGAGGGTTTACGGGCATCTCCTGTGCAGATGTGGAAACGGAGCTCAGTTTAGATTCCTAGTCAAGGTCATGGGAGGGGAGAGCTACATCTGCAGTGGGACCCCAGGGATGCAAGCCCCGCTCCTGCACCGCCTCCCAGCATGCGGGGGAGCAGGAGGGTGTGGAGGGCAGAGAAGCACGGGTGAGGCCCTGCGGGTGGTCTGCGGGAAGATGGGGGGGGAGGCCAGGGCCATAGCTGTGCTGGGTGCCCCTCCACTCCCGCAGCCCCCCGACCAAGGGTACAAAAGCAGGTGGGACAGAGCACGGCCACCACCCCAACCACTCCCTGGGGGAGGTGAGCAGAGGAGGGAGCAGGGCAGCAGGAAGGCTGAGGGGAGGGGAGAGGAGGAGAGGGGGGTCCAGCTCTCACCCTGAAACTGGGGAGGCCGCAGGGCCCCTTGCGGGGAGGAACACGCCCCAGGCTTTTACGTCCGTGGACTGAAGGCGACCTCCTGCAGAAGAGCTTCCGCGGACCCCGGGAAATCACCCCCATGCGGCGGGCATGAACTCTGACCCCGGATCTCGGGCTGAGGCCCACGGTGTCCTGGGGGGAGTCCTCGGGAATGGGGCCTGGCCGGCCACAGGCTGGAGGGAGCCCATCGCCATGTCCACCCACCCCTGGGGAGAGAGTGACCAGCAGTCTCGGGTCAGAACCAACAGAACTTGGCTCCCAACCCCCAGGATCCTGACCCTGGGATTAGAGTTCTCTTCTTCTCGTTTTATTAACCAAACTCTCGCGGGCACCTGGTTTAAGAAGCCAGAGGACTGAGGGCCTGTCACAGAACACCCAGGCCCTCCCCTCCCCTCCCCACTCCCACGCCCAGAGCAAGTTCCTGCTGCCTGTCCTCCCACCTGAGTTCCGAGTTCCGCAGGTGCTCAGGTAGGTGGTTGTGTCGCAGCCGCTACGTTTCCATGTTCCCACGGTGCTGACCCCAAGCATATGGTTCGAACAGCTCTCTAGGCCCCAGGTCCTGCCCCTCCTGCTCCTGTGGGAGGAGGCGTCAGGTCCGTCTGCTATGTCTGCTATCCAGGTGCCCCTCCTTGGTGGTAGGACCCGCCCTCCATCTGCTTCCTGAGCTAGTGAGGCTGGGACCCTCTCTGCCAGGTGCCTGGCAGCTTGGCTGGGCACAGAATTCCTGGCTGGGAGCCTTTTCCCTCAGAACTCTGAAAGCGCGGTCGCGTCCGCCAGCAGAGCTGGGCTGAGACGCTCAGGTCGCAGCCTTTGAGTGTGGCCCGTTTTTCTCTGGAAGCTTCGAGATCTTGTCTGTCTCCATTTTTAATTTCACAGTAATTCAGATGCTTCAGTGTGGTCTTTTACCCGTGGCCGTGCCAGACACAGGGGTTCTTTAACTCGTGTCCGTGAGTTCTGAAAATCCTGGTTTCAATCATTCCTCTTCCACACTCTCTTCCTTCTGGAATTCTGAGATCTTTTCATTTTCTTAGTTTTGGCTCCTATTTGCTCTCATTTTGTAAAAAATTTTGTTCTACCTACTGGGGTATTTCCTCCACTTGGCCAGCCAAACCTCACCAGTCAGATTTTAGAACCCCAGCTGCCATGCTATTAACTATTTCTAGTTGATGAAAGAGAGAGAGAAGGAGAGAAACATCGATGTGAGAGACACACTGGTCAGCCACCTCCCACACACGCTCCCACAGGGTCCAAACCCGCGACCCAGGGATGTGCCCGCCTGGGAACTGAACCTGCTGCCTTGGTGCACGGGCATCGCTCCAACCAGCGAAGCCGCACGGCCGGGCCCAGCCACCGCGCCCTCATCCGCTGCTCTTCCGTGAGAGCGCAGCTGCCCTCCCTCCCCGCGGACTCCTCACAGAGCGGCGGTTTCGGGTGGTGTTTTTTGAGTTTTGGGTTTTGATTTTTTTTTTTTTAGTTTTTCCTCTGCTCTGTACAGTGTCTTTCATTCTTCCAAGCTCTCTTTTCTGATTCGTGTTTTGTTTTTGCAGTATCTGTCCTTGATTTCGGCGGCTTTAAGACCTGGTGACCTTGAGTCCACCCACAGGTAAAGCCATGCGGATCAGCCGTCTGCGGAGGGAAGCTTGCTGACACGGGCTGTGTGTCTGGGACGGCAGCCCAGCCCGCGAGGTGCTCTCGCGGCTGAGATGGGAGGTGCCATGTGCCCATATTCCGACTCCTTTTTTCCGAAGAACATGCCCCGCTCCTTGCCCTGCAGGACCACAAGCATCCCCCAGCCAAGCAGGGGAGGGGCTGGGGCCTCCCTCTCAGGGCGTAGCTTTCCCGGATCCCCATGTCCCATATGGCACGGTTCCCCCGCCTGTCGGTGTGCTCGCCATCCCCAACCCACAGCCTCTGCACCCCCTTCCCCAGAGAAACCTGCCTTTGCAA